CTCTTGGGGCGCCTCCCCCGGCGGCTCACCTCCTCCCGCACCACCGGGCCCGTCAGGATGCGCTCGAACATCCCCTCGGGGAGGAATCCCTGCAGAGACACAGCGGCACTTTAGCGCGATTCGGGATCTTCAGGATGGCAAAGGAACAGCAAACACAGCACTCGAGTGTACAGAGCAGCAGCTCCCTGGGATTTGGGCTGACTCTGTGCTACCGCATCCCAAATGTCTACAGCCCATCTCCACTGTGAGGGCTCTTCTCACACCCTCTGCTACCCCACCCTTCACGGCTTCCTGGCACATCAAGCCAAATAGAGCTAATCATAGGAGCAAGCTCCATCTAAGATCTAAACCAGCATTGCTTTGAAATATTATCTCACAGCAATCACTTGACAGTTTAATTAGTTTCCAATTTAAAGTTAAATATGTGTGATTGCACACAGACCAACAATCCCTGAGCCCTTTTCATTTTTGCTAGTGTCTCTTTAATGTCCTCATATTTCATCTCATCCATAAACTGAAGAAAAACCAATAAAGAATCAACCTGAATTTGAATTAAATTCTTAGTACTTCTATTTAAGATTTGTATAGTATCCCTTCACCACTTTAAGACCTCCTACCTAACAACAAAGAATTGCAATGAATACCAATATTCCCTTTAAAATGTATTGTCTTGAAATTTCCTTTTTAAAAAGGCAACCATAAGATCAAATATAACTCAACACTATGGTACAACTGCCTTTTTTCCCTAGCAAATAACTCTGATTTGTATTAGCTTAATGCAACCAGAGCAATTCAGAACTCAAGTTCTGTTCCTCTCTACTGTAGATAACTGCTACTTTCTCAAAGTAATTCTGCTAGTATTTATACCTCTATTCAGAGGTATACACTACACAATACAACTTCTTTAAGTTCAAAATATGTCCTTATTTTCAAGGCAAGACTAACTGATAATATCCTCACTATCCTGATTTATCAAAGGTGCATGCTAAAAGTAAAATAAATATTTAAAAATATTTAAAGATTTTTTTTCCCAACTGAAACTTTAGAGAAAGTATTCTCTTTCTTAAATGATTTCTTGGCTAATATCTTTCCTAAAAGCCACTGGACTATATTTAAGACATGAGAAGTCACAGTATTACAGCATCTTCAACAAAATCTCTAATTTGGGGTTGCCAGTCACTGTTCCACCCCTTTCTCCTATTCCAGTTGTGCCAGCAAAGCATTTACTGAACTGAGCTGGCAGAAAGCTGACACTGACTCATGTTTGCTGTTCATGTAATACCAGAAATGAAAATCACACCTCTTGGCATGCAGGTCTTTTCTATTTGCCTTGTTTCCTTTCAGATACATTTCATGTCATGGTTATCTTATTCTGCAAATACTTACAGACTGTTTTACCACGTCTCCCCACTCAGGAGCCACTCCATACTCTGGATTTTCTTTCAAGAATCTGCACAAATCCTTCAGAGGGGGAGCAAATGCACCCCCAACCTGAGAAGCAGAAGATAGAAGTCAGTGAATTTGTGACAACTGATAAGAAAAAAGGCAATATTTGTGACAACTGATGAGAAAAAAGGCACTGTTTCATTTTTTTTTACCTTTTGGATTACACAGTACAAATAAAGCCTCACTTCAAGTTATGGAGCATGATGCAGCTTTTGGCTGACTCCTGGTGATAGATGTGTATGTGATTTGTTCTGAATCTACTAAACTCAAACTCATCTATTGAACTCAATTCAAGACTTCAGTATTTGACATTCCCACTGATGTTTAATACTTAATATTTATTTAGACATGCAATGAATGGAAGAGCAACCACATGAACAGAGAACAGTGGTCCAAGTATTACCAAGAAGGTTGTAAGTACAACCCTGTTAAGCTTTTCCTTTATTCAGTATATAAATCCTATTCTCTCATCTCAGTCAACTTCTAAAAATATTTAAGAGGCTCTGCAATCATGAATTAAGTTCCTGAGGTTTTTTTCATGCACAAAAGGCCAAATTAAAGTTACTAAACAGCATATCCTAATAAAAGCATATAAGCAGGAAAGTAAGGTTTTTAAATTAATGAGAAGAATTATTCAGATCCAGAAAGAAAAAGAAGAAAATTGTCCACTTTCTGCTTAACTTTCTCTATAAACTGCAACTTAAACTCATATTTTCTAGGCTACTTTTGGTCCCTCACTCCCTACTACTCAGAAATATTACAGAACTAAAAAAGCAAATGAGAAAAAACAGGTTTGGTGATACACAGAAATTGGAGACAACTTATACATGGAAAACCTGGTATTAATCAAGTATCCAAGCACCAGCTATGGAGTGGAAATCTGAGAGGAAAAAAAACCACCATGAAAACACAGGTTTTCACAGTAAACAGAGATCGTATCTTTCATTCCTTGATCTTCAACTTTGACAAGATCCCTCAGGGCACAGCTCTTGAAGAGCAGCCACAGATCTCAGTTTCAAGAGACTCACAACCATTCTGGTTCCCCTTCAGAGCTGCTGTCTCAATACACTGAAGAGATTAAAGACTCAAATTCTGCCTCGCTCTCCTGTACAGATGGACAAAGCTCCTGACCTTAATACAGCAGCATACAAGCAAACCCCATCCTGCTTCCCTTGTAGCTGCTCTAACAAAAAGAGAAGCAGGCAGTGCCACCAGGGAAAGGGAAAATGCTCCTTACATGGACACAACAGCTCAAAGATTCCCCCTGGGTTGCTGCTCTGGTGCTACACTGACATTCAAAGACACCATCAAACACATCTGGCCAGATCTGTTCAACAGACACCAGGGATGTTCTGCATGCTTTTCTTGAATATTGCCTTTAGCCTTCCCCAGAGCCTGTTCAAATGCATTGTGCTGTTCCCAAACTCTGACCACCTGCACAAAAATTCAACACCTGCCCTCACATCTTCCACTGCTGCCTTTTCACACAAGAATTCCCCTTCTCCTTTTGTTCTCCTGTTCCCCCAACATTTCACCTAGAAATGTGACTGAGCCAATACTACTGGTAGATCCAGAAAGGGCAAATGGCAGACATTACTGAAAAAAGCAAAAAGCAAAATCATCCAGTACAGAGGATTGCCTCAATTCCAAAGGACAAGTTTCTATGGCAGATATATTCCCAAAACAATTTTGTCAAAAATAGTAATGAGAAGATCACAAAAAAATCTCAAACTTCTGACAAAGTTGCCACTTTGATAATGGATTTTGAACATTTATTTTAGTGGCCCTGCTTCTGTCTGAGTCAATGGCATAAACACTGCACCATACCAAGTGTTCAGCTCAATAAACCATGGGCTAAGTTTCTATCTGTGTCTTACATATTTTCATAGCAGCAAAAGATTTACTAGAAGATTGTAACTGAAATTTTTGCTCTGTGCCAAAGCTTTAAAACAAAAACCTTTCGTTCGTTAACTGGGAAAATTTTAGCAAGTGTAGTTCCTCATCTGGAGTAACTTTTCATTTGGGGAGTCTGAGAATGGGAACAGTATCATGAATACCTTTCTTGCATTTCTTCTATTTATGAGCTGAACACGTTCTTCACCAGTTAAACTGTTAACATCCAGTTTGTTGGGGTTTCGACAACGGTGTCGTTTTTGTTTGGGCCTCCCATCGTGCAGCTGCATCCTCTGTTAGAAAGGAATTAAAAAGCCAATTATCCTTCTGATATAACTGCTTTTAAAAGTAAGATCTCTGTGCATTCTCTTGAGTCAGGCATTAATTTGAAGCCAACTTCAACTTCAGAAATATTTTAATACCAGTACCTATCCACTAATCACAATCATTGAATAAGCAGTCCAGTAAACAGCACTACATCATCTCTCTGACGCCTCTGCCCATTGCTTTACTACTTTTTCAGTTTTTAACAATGCTTTAACTGTCTGGAAGATTACTGCTGCTTTGTAATACCTTCATGGAGAAGGAAGGTTGTTATTCCAGATATCACACATATGATTTTCTTACTTTAAAAAATGTCAAATTCAGAAGTAGCAGCATGAGAAGATCATACCCACACAAACACCACTACCACAGCACTGTACTGTAGGTATGAGATGCATTCCACAGTAAGTTCTTTAATCCTTTTGCACATCACTAAATATGCTGTTACACATTTTCAGCTCCTATCATCAGTACCAAGGTAATGTGAGTTTTCTTATCCTAGATAATTTTTTAAATAGTAAGTGAAATCATATAAAGATCAAATGTCTTGATTTGGTGTTGCTTTTCTTGGCAATTACATTTGTGAGACAAAAAGAAGGCTTGGAGACCTCACACTGTAAAAAGAAATGGACATTTTCCTTTTTCTATGTGGAACAGAAGAACAAAGAAATAATTCCCTGTAACACAGAATGCAAACCAAAAATACATAATATGTGAACTATTGTACTATGTAGCTAGGGAGAGGTGAAAGAAATACTCACAGGAATACAAGCTCCTGAATCTTCAACATATCCAGGATGTTCTTTAAGCCACCTTTCTAAATCTTTCCTTTTAGGGGCATCATCACCTGCAAGCCTTGTTCCATCTTTTAGGTTAATAACAGGAACTGGGCTCTCTGCATCGAGCACGCCTTGGGACTGTGTGTAGGTGAGTGCTGGGTTTATTCCTGCAGCAACCTGGCAGGAGTTAATACCTGGATTAACCTGGAGAAATTAAAAACATCTGCTTTACTGCACTGAAAACAAGCCATCACAATTATTTCTTGTATGAGTCAATGAAAGGCACAGTTTTGCAGATCAAAAGGACTCACACACTCACACTCAAGGACTTGCTCATGCCAAAGAAATCCCTTCAGGACACTGCCCAGTGAGGGATGTCTAAAGGTTGCTATGTCAAGCAACAAATTTTTAATAATACATTGTTAAAGATCATCAGAAATCAAGTTACATTTTAAAAACAGTTATTGATGCTGTATTTATCTGATATTTAATGACACTCCACCAGTTTTAATCTGTGTAATCATAAACTATCAGCAAAAAATATCCCAAACCTGAAAGTCTTGACTACAAGCTTTTGTGGAGCAGGGACAGCTGGTTATGCTCAGTTAAGGCATTAATAATAATAATAATTTTGATCTTGTTTTTTGGATACAGAATGAAGTTTACTTACATGGTTAGGCTGTTTATTTCTATTCATAAAGAGGACATCAACTCCCTCCACATTCTTCCTTCTTCCTCGTCTCTTTTTGACTACAGGCTGACTGTCAACAATGACTCCATTGGCACTGGCTGTTAAGTGACTGGAAGTACCTAATAAATTATGCAATCAAACTTGTGTCAGTGCTTGTTTTATAAAGAGAAACATGTCTGAATACAGAAAGGAAATAAAATTATTTTAATTATTGCAAATGCATGCAATTTCTACATGTAACAGCTAAGATAAATTGCCCTTTGTTTTATGATTGCTTAAAGCATCATAAATATCAGGTTCTGAAAGCTACTTTACTATGAAAATTTCATTACTGCCCCTGCACCCCCTCCAAATTTATCCATATAGGGATTATTGCTACTGACAACTGTTGATATCATATACACAGAGAGGCAGACATCCCAAAACAAATGTTTAGCAAGACCTTAATGGCTTGTTGCAAAATTTAAGCAGATGCTGGTCTAAGTTAAGCACCCATTTCTAATAACTTCTAATATTTTAATCCAAATGTTAGCTCCTTACTTCAGGCTCATTTGTATTTGTCAGAGTATACCTACTGTTATCTTGTTATGAAACAAGCTGTAAGTTTTTGGCTATAAATCAAAAATTGATTCCAATTGTCCTCCATGGCCTCTTCACATGAGACACAAGGAAGATCACCAAGAGTCTGAATTGGCAGAGGCATAAATCTGGAACTCTTCATCTTTATTTACAAAGTAGCCACATTAAGTTCTGAGTTAAACTGATTACTGTCAGCGTACAGTGATGCACTCTATAATTATTAAAATCATCTTTGGAGGGGGTTTACAGTGTATAATGGCATCATTCTACTCAATTAACATTACAGTAATTGACACTATGATAAAGCATCATGTGCTCCAAACTGGAGAATGCCTCCACACTGGAGAGAATTTCTCCAGGCTGCAGTTTGCAAACATCTCTCTCCATTGCCAGCTCACGGACATCAACAGAAGAACCCAGCAGACTGAATACCACATTGCCCTTCTCCTTTCTGACATGTTTTGTACCTGATTTGGGAAGTGATTTGGGGAAGTTGACAAGGCTGGTTTCTGAAGCATTCTGGAGTTCACGGAGCCGAGCCAGATATTGCTGCTGACCCAATGCACCCTCCTCGCTTTCAAACGGCCTTTTCTGAGACAGTCCCTGCTTCTGAAAAGTCAATTTCAAACCACCTTCCTGTTAAATAAATGCCAGGATTAGAAGAGCTTCTGCTGAAGCAGAAAGAACTACTTCACAATCAGGATTTCACATACAGTTACTCCAGCAGAATTGAGAAAGAATGAAAACACTGTGTTAGATCTTGTACAATCTTGTTCTTCCATGTAAAACCAGAATATGAACAGAAATTTCATCTGAACTGAAAAATCCAGACCCTGGTAAGGTGTTTACCTCCTGAATCCAGTCCTAGACCCAACTACAAGAGCAAACAGTCACATATTTTTATGTGCTACAAATAGGTCTCAAACTTCAGATAAACAAAATGTTTGAAGCTTCTACCCTGCATTTAAACCAGGAAATTTTCCTGTAATCCTCTAAAAGACCATGAAATTATAAAGTGCATGTTGAAATGTTAAAAAAAAGCTGAGCAGCAGAAATACCTTTTTATACTAACCAGATTTGTTAGAAACAGCATAAAACAAGCTGTCTGAGGAAGCATCAGCATGGCAAAAACTCAATTCAGGAAAAAAAAAAAAGATTTCTTCCAGTGGCTTAAGCAAATAAAATAAAAAAAAAAAAAAAAGAAAAAAAGAACACAGAAAAACCCCCTCCCCAAAAAACCAAACCCAAACCCCAAACACTCAGTGCCCAGAAGCAGCAGACCCAAATACCCACAAACAAGTGTGTGAAGAAGTGAGAGTGAGAGCAGGCAGCCACTTGCAGGTAAAGCATGCCGCACACCGCAATCGCAACCAGGTCCTAGGGCAATAAAAATAAACATACGTCATTGATTTTCACTGTAAACTCCTTTTCTCGTACATGCTTCTTCACCTTTGCCAGCTGGGGAGATTGCTCATATTCTTCTTTCACAGCTGCCAGAGGGGGTGTGGGTGCAGGGGGCTCACTGTACTCTGCAGCTGCCCCTGAGCTGTCCAGCAGCTTGGTGGTGTAGAAGGACGCCACGGCGGCGCTGTCGCAGCTCCTTCGGGCTGAAGGCCATTTTCCCTTCAGCACTGTCTGACAAATGCTGTCCAGTCTGTTGATCATAACACGGTCCTGAAATAGGAGAAAGTCATTCTGTAAGAGCAATGCTTACCAACACTGTGACATTTATGCATTAGCTCTTAATTCTACGGAGAAGGGAAATGACAACATTTTTATCATTGGACTTGGACTTGAAGATTTTGAAGTTCCTGGATTTGTACTGATCCACTGTAAATCTGTGAAAGCACTTCTGTACTTAACTTCACTATGTACCTCCAAACAAATAAGTAATTTCTCTCATCTGTGCAGGGTCTGGCAAATGACTGAAATACACTATCTCCCTGATTTTTAATGGAAAGATGTGGTAACTAACAAAGCAATATTTGTATGTGTGGCTTTGACTCACTGTTAGCAGGATCTGAACCTGTGAGCAGCACCATAACACACAGCAAACAGCATTTATAAAACTAAACCTACAGATGACTATTTATGTCTCCTTTTAGCTTCCAAAACCATGTAACTCCTCATTCCCATCCTTTGGGCACCAAGCACAGATAATCACACACCTCTGTAATACACAGTTCTCAAGTCCCAGTAAACTCAGCCAAGTACATGAAGACTACAAGAACTACTGGATTTTCTGATCATTTCACAGTTATTTGTCAAATAAATTTGCTAAAATTACAAGTTCTGTAAGCAAACACTTATTTCTCAGTTCAAGGCTCTCTGCTGTATTTGATACAAGTCAACTTTTTACACTCTGAATGTCATTTTTCACAATGTGCCAAGGACCTGTGACCTTACAGTTACACTCCCCTTGAGAAATTATGAAAAGCAGTACCTAGATTTAAATGCATGTTCCAGGAGTCAACATAACAACACCTAAAAGGTCCTGAAGCTCAAATCCTACAGCTATTGACTCTGCTTCTTGGTTTTAACATACTTAACAGAACATTCATGTTAGAGCGCACCTTCAACTACTATTTTGGTTTTCAAGGTTGCATTATGAACTTGCCTTTGGCCAGTACGATGCAGCCAACATGTATCCACCTTGTAGGAGATAACCAGAATTTGGTGTCCCATTGTTCATCTGGAAACTGTCCTGTGTCTCATCTTGTGTGGTGCTCAGAGAGGCCACACTCTCTTCATCATAGGCTTTTATATGTGGTGTTCCTTCTGCTAAATAAAACCATCAAAATCATTATGCTGGAAGGGAATGAGACACTCACTGTAAGAGGTCTAGGTGAATAAACACACACAACAATGTTCAGAGAAAGTCCAAACACAAAGTTAAACTGAAGAATTAATCTCTTAGGTTTTTCAGGCTGATCATTTTCTAGAGATGTTAATTCCACACATATTCCTGTTAGTATTTGGAAGCTGAAGATGTTGAACATTTAGCTATTGGAAACAGACATGCTTCAAAGTCATCTAACAGACAATCATCACTTAATATATTTAATTGATAAGACAACATTCACTAAAGCATAGAATTAAACTGAAAGCAAAGGTGTCTATCACCAGCACATGGGAAATCCAGTGGGAGAGTACTTTAAAAGAACCTTTTCATTTACTGCATGGAATACTGGATGCTCCATGCCTTGAACATGTGTGCCTGCATAATTCAGTTGTTCAATCTTTGATCATTGAGGATTTTTCCCTATTATCTTTCCAGTGTGTCCTCTGGCTTTCTTATATTTCATCATTAGTATTTAATTTCTGCCTCCATTCAGACAACAGAAATTTCACTATGACAAGGGGAAACAGTCTGAAACAACAAAAAAATGTGTTGCCTGAAAATCTAACTACTACAGTAGCACAAGGAGTAAGAGAGGCAGCTCTTCAGAAATTAGATTTGCCCTCAACAATAGCTCTGTACTGAGTCATCTGATAGAATCCAGCACTCCCTCCAGAGATGCTTCAAATGTGGAAAGTATGCCAAAGGGTCATTGCCATTGAATAACCAATGAAATAAAACCTGGGCTTAAAATTAAAATACAGATTAACTTAAGTGAACTTTTCAGCCTATACCCATCTCTTCAAACTAACAGCAAAACCACAAAAAAAAACCCTCCAAAACAAAAAGGCCAACTGATTTATGAGATTCTGCAGTCTGAGGAAGGCAGGATTATTTGCCTAAACAGACTGAGTTGGTACAAAACAAGCCTAATATTTGGACTTGCAGCACACTTATGGTAACCACAATATCTATCTGAATATTTATGTTATATAAGCATTCCTTTGCTGTCACTGTTTTACTGTTTGCACACCAACTGCTTCCTCTAAAAAAGTCCTTTCCTTGCTAGGCAGCAGCATATTAGTAATTTTCTCGAGGCGGAATTTTACTTGCTCAGGAATCATTTCCCCAGCAAATGAACCCCATGGTTTCCAGTTGTCATCTCCATGGACAAGGAGACCCATCTGATTAAGACAATGCCTTTTCCTCTTAGGATGGGAAAAAACAGGTTCTTCGTCCCACTGGCTGCCTTCATTTTCTTCCCTTCTCTATTACCGTCTGTATCACATAGAGAAATCCTTCCATATTCTGAGTTTCAGTGGGGGAAATAGAGGCCACTTCACAGCAGCAAAGTGAGGAGTGTATTATATAATGAATGGTTGGGTTATTAAAAACTCTAAATCACTTTATCAGAGGTTTTTGCTTCCAGTTTGAAGCTTTCACTGTGTCTGTGTTACATGGTCTTATGTGCTGCAGCCACCTCAGTCTTGGCTAAGCAGGTTTTATTTTAAGTGAATTTTTTGAAAAGTTTTAAAGTGTACAAAAATTTTCAGTGCAAAAACATTGTTTGGGCACTAAAATTCGCAACAGAAATCAGCTGACATCACTCGAGTTTGGACAGAAGGAAGCTTGCAGGTTTTATGAAAGAACATATGAGGAAGCTACATAGACAGGTGAGCAAGAGTGGAAAAAACAAACCTAAAGGATCTTTTTAGGAAAAGAACCCATAATAGGGGATACACACACAGAGTATATTTCCAGAAAATGCTGCCCATTCCACTCTCCCACACATGAACCACATGCACAGCAACCTTGCTTAGGGATCACAACACAGCCTAAGTACCTCACCAGGGCTCTGATATGGAGCAAACAAAAAGCAGTATTCCTGAAATTCTTCCAACTCACTTGGAAGAATCAAGCAAATATGTTTATTTACATTATGTTTAATAAAGTAAACTTCTGTGGGATCTAAAAGCCTTTTAAAGACATTTTTCCATTAAGAATAAACTAGTTCAGTAAAGAATTATACTGCAGAAGTAAGACTACACACATACCACGTTTTTGTGCCTCCTCTTCATCACTATCACTCTCTTCAGACGATGATGATGATGACGACGATGACGATGAGGACGACGAGGAGGACGATGAAGATGCTGAAGAACAAGATGAGGATGATGAAGAGCTAGAGCCAGATCGAGAGTGGGAACAAGATGAGGAAGACGAAGAGGAGGAAGATGATGACCTGGAAGAACAGGATGATCTATCTGAGTCAGAGTCCGAGTCAGAGCTGGAGTCAGACCCCCTTTTGCTGACTCTCTGCTTTTTGGAAGCTGGGTTTGGTGTCAGAGGCTCTGTCCTTGCTGCCACCATGCGTCTGTCTGTCTCAGCCTTCACGCTAGGTCTGTGGTCTGACATTTGTATTGGGGTGCCATTTTTGGGACTCAAAGGTTCAGATTTCAGTATTGTCTGTGTCTCCTCTGTAGACATCGATTCCTCTTCAGAAGACTGAGGATCCTCTTTCAGATTTTCATTTTTAGCTTTTGTGTCCTCAAAAGCATTCACTTTAGCATCTGACAGTCTTGACTGAGGTGTAAGAGGAGAAGCAGATAATGCCATCTGGTACTGGTGCAAGAGTGGAGTAGAAGTCCTTGAGAGAGCCACTTTGTTTTGATTATAGTTCCTCTGGGCAGACATAAATGAGAGTTCAGGATCACGAAGAATATGATAATCTGTCCTGCTGACTCCGTGCTTAGCAGCTCCAATAAGCAGATCCCTGTCGTGAGTCCCACACTCCCACCAGACAGGCAGGTCAGGGTTTGGCTGGCACAGCTTTAGCCTCTCAAAGAGCTGGGGGTGCCTGAGGGCCTGCTCCCGCACTTTGCGCAGGAGCTCGATGCGGTACAAAGTGCGGGAAGCGCGTTCCTCGGTGATGGGCTGGATGAAGAGGTTTGGGTCCACGAGCTCTGGATTAGAACAAAACAAATGAGAATCTGCCAAAACCAACACACCAGTACTTAACTCATTAGTCATCTGTGTAAAGATATGTCTCCCCATTATAAGCTTTCAATTTTACCCTCAACAGGTTTCCTTAATTCTTCCTCCCCCATTTTTATCTTCCAACACATGAAAGAAAAACCTTTTCAAGGGAGGCACCGACAATACAAATGTAAAAAGTAAAAACATACACACCCACCTTCTTTTGAGGGGAGGCGACAGACCCTCCTGCACATTGACATAAATGCATACAGGTACTTCTCCAAGCTCTCATCAGTTTTCTTGTGCAGCCGAGCCATCGCTCGAAACTTGGTCCAGTCAAACCGTCCCCTCTCAGGGTCAAACACCACTCCAAATGTGGACACGACTCTGTAAAAGTCAGCTTCTTCTCTTCTCGTCCATCTTGACCAGCAAGAAAAAGATGTGAAATTCTGTCAATGTCTTCACTGTTTCATGCATTATGTCTTTACCATTTTTTACGTAAGGGCAGACTGAAAAAATACATTTGCATGCTGCACATACCTTTGCTGTCTTTCAATCTTAGCAGCCATCTTTGGATTTAGTGCAGCTTCCTCATATGGCAGCTGCATCATACTGGTTTGTACTGGGAATGCTGGCTGGATCTGCTGGGCCTGCCTGTTTTTACTGGTGCGTTGATAAGCGGTGATCAGGCGGCGCAGCCGCGTTGTTAAGGCAGACTGAGTGGGCCAATAGATTTTGTCCCCTTCCATCATTTGTCCATCTGCATGAAAAGCAAGTCATGGGAAAAATAAAGAAGCTGATTACTGCTGGTGTCTATGGTTCTACACTAGGTAATTATATTTAAGTTAAAAATCACAAGAATTAAACAATTCAAAACACAACAGCAACTGGCTGAGATTTGTAGTTTTATGAATTTACCTCCATCTGCTATTACGAGATCACCTGGGGATGAAACATCATCCTGTAAAAAAACAAAAGTGAAGCACAATTTAAAATATAGCCCTCTCCAGAGATTTAGGTTAAATGTACATATTACAACAATTTCTGAATATGAAAAAGAACAAAAGTAACAAATGGTTTGGATAAATGGCTAACAGGGCATACAACAGAACTATGCAGCAATTCCCTATCATTCCCACCCACCCAGACAACTTCAGAAACTCATGGAGCAAGCCTTATCAGCAGAAAAAAAAAAGTAATAATTTGCCCAACAAAAAGGTGGAAGTATTACATTACAAGTGAACGTGTGTTGAAGTGTCTAAGTGAATGGGTGTTAACAGGAACGATTAATTGGTGCCTACTATACCTCTATGTCATCTTTAAACAGTGCTGGTGCTGGTTTATACTCTGGATCTTCCACATCCCTGTTAAAATTTCAACACAAAAGACACCATTTTAGTAATATTTTACACTACTAACTTAAAAGTTCTTACACTCTTTTCAATTAAGTAAAGCTGATTTAAATTTATTAAGATACTGTATTTAATTTTCTGTTTGAAATGAAGAAAGTATTTCATGGCAGCTTTGGCGTGAATCCTGCTCCCCCCAAGTAACTGTATCATCCAAAGGTATTCTTTGTGACCACAACTAAAAACCCCAGTGATGAGGCAATGAATAAAAGCAGTTTTCTCTTTTAGCAGTAACCAGTAATTCTCACATTGATCTACTGGGGTCACTGGTCAGCTACACAAGACGAAGACATGAAAAGCTGACCTGAAATCAAGTTGAACAGGTCTGTAGCACTCCACCTCTGAATGCTTTTGCACTTCAGTGTCTAAGTAGCATTTTTAACATATCAACACAAGGTAAAATCCTTGTAAATAACAGTTTTTTGGGTTTTTTTTTTTTTTCCCTAACTGTGAAATCCCAAACTTCAGTAGTTGTTTTACCAATCCTCTTTTCCACCCTATGGGAGTAAAATCAAAGTGGTATCCCTTACAATAATGACACCAAACTCATGTAAAACCAGTTAGGAAGAGAAAAAGGTACAGCATGTAAATTCAAATTTGTTTGCTTTCAGGCCCCAAAACATTTCCTTCCATACCCATCCATATAATCATTTGCTCTCTGTTCAGCAGCAACTGCTTTCTCATCTGGTTTTCCAACCCTTTCCAAGAAGCAAAGAGCTGGGTCTGCTCTGATAGTGTTGTATTTTTCATAACCTACAATAGAAAAAAAGTGGCAAAAATTCAACTTCCAGAGTACACAAAAAAAATTGAGTGTAGGGTGTTTTTATTTTGGGGTATGAGGAAGTGCATACACAGTCACCCTCATTACTCACCATGTTTAAAAACTCCAATTAGAAGAGATTTATCTGCATCTGCATCCCACCACTCAGCAGGAACTTCAGAGTGGTCTGGCTCAGGAACCCAAACATCAATTTCACTAAAGACAATCACCAAGAGCATAGCAACATCAATAGAATTCAGAGGAAGAAATAAATGTTGATATTTTCTTAGTACATTTCTACTTCATGTGGGACTTGAAACTTCTCTCTTCAAGCACACAAATACAGTAAAATCAGCAATACAAAACACCCAGACAGCTTAGTATTTAGTATTTGAGACCAGTAATAGGGAAAGACTACAAAAGCCAAACCAGTATACAACATTCTTCCTCCCTAAGTGAACTTCACCAACTCCCAGCAGCCTGTGCTTGCACAACATTGCAAACCAAGGATTATCTGTGTCAGTGTTTAACAGCATGAGAGGGACTGTTCCTCACTAGTATTTCTGAATCAAATTACAGCTTTCTATCTGCCACAAGCTCCTCTAGCAGTGAGTTCAAGAATTTCCAAACAGCAATAGTTGCCTTTACAAAAAAAAAAGTTAAAAAAAAAATGAAGGCATTAATGGAATACACAGCACATAATCAAAAGCAGGGGAAAACCTGCCAATTATCATGTCAAGTACATAATTCTATCTTTCACTCACTTTTTCAGTCTATTTGACTCATATTATTTTACTTTATATAGCTAGACTCATGAAGAGGAATCAGGACTTCCTCATGTCAAGTTGATGAAGTGTTTAGTAAACAAAGAGAAAACAAAAACATGTTCCTCACAGCCTAAGGATAAACACATTTAGTTTTAACATGTCTTATTTGGGTCTAGGCACATTCTTGAATATTCATCTGACATTTGAAATAAACAAGTAAAAATACTCTCTCAATAGTTCACCTGGCATCAGTTCCATCAAAGACCTTTTGGAATTCATTACCAATGACTTCTTGCTTTAAGTAATACAGCATTCTTACTCGAAGTAAGACTCTAAATGAAGAAAAAAAGAGACATACAAATATTAGAATTCAAAAAGCTTTCAATACTTGTGGATGGCTTTGTTTTGTCTTTTGTTTTATCACTGACATTTCAAGTCACTTTCCTAAAACCTACTTCCTTCACTTTTAAGGGTGGGGGTAACATCCAGCTCAGGTGACCTAAGACTTTTTATTGTCATCACATTTACAAATTGTTTCATTGCAAAATTTTCTTTCAAATCCTGAAGACCAGGGTCAGCAGAACACTCTTCACTTGCTTCATGAAATATAAGAACAAAGTGCTATTTCCCTTTTCCTGCTTAGAGCATGTCCTCAGAGAGGATGGAGTGGGCTGACAATGAACATCCTCCCCTTAACCTTTCATTTCCTTCTCACTCACAATTTAGTGACCCCAATGACTTCTCCATGCTTTATCTCAATTCTTGACTGCAGCTGTATGAATTGTCCAAGCATAATATGGCAACTTTTGCTACAGAAAAATCGTTTATCTACACCAAGCTCATTCGCTGCCATGAATGACTAAGCTTTCACAAACTGGTAGCTCAGATTCTCTGAAGCCTAGAAAACATGCCAGGGAAACAGCATGTGAGACTGAGGGGCAACAACTTCAGTGCTCTCAGTCTCTCTGATAAGCACTCCCACTCTTTAGTCCCTTGGCTGCTGCAAGGCATCCCAAACATGTTAGCAAGGGATCCCTCCACAGACAAAAACAGTTTCTTCAAAAATTGTAACAGAATTATTTTACATGTGAAATTATCTGTTCACCTACAAAGACATGATGACCTATTTATTCTAATCAAAATAACACCATTGAAACTTCTTTCTTCCTACTGCCACAACTATTTTGAAGTCTAAGGCAATGAGAATCTAGAAGAAAAAACAAACAATTGAAAGACATTCAAACTTCAGCTACTGCTTACTTGTTGCAATGGTGTTTTATGTGCTTTTTGTAGCCTTCATCTTGCAACAGATGCTCTGGATTGTATTTTCGAAGCCATTCTGCTTTGTGTATATCAAAAGTGCTAGCCTGGGTCTTCACTTTTTTTCCTTTTCTTCCTCTAGGCACAGGGGCTGATAAGCCTATATAATGTAAAATATTACAGGTAGAGATATAGATGCCCACAATATTGATAGTTCCCATATCCTATACAGATATTGAACCTGCAGTGCAGGATCAACACTAACATCAGTATGAGAGACTTTTTGTGTCTCAGAGCACCTCTGGAAAACACATCACCAGTAAGGACCAGCAGGAGAGGGGGAGAAGAGGAGTGGGCTGTCTTGTCACCTACCATGAAATAGAACAGGTTATTCTGAACTGGAATGAAAGCTCACACCTAACACCATTTGGGTAAGCCATCAAATCCAAGGCTAAGCAGCAATGACACTTCTTTGTCCATCAGCTGAATTGTGTGCTTGAAATAAGTCTCATTTATTTCAAACAGGATGTGTTCAAAGATGGTTTTTTGCAGTTTTCATCCCAGTACCACAGGCACACACACACACATGAAGCTGAGTGCAGAAACACATCAAGTCCTTACCGAGGTGGTTCTGTAACTCTCGTGTTTGCCCATCCTCTGTCGGGGTGATGAGATCCCATATAAAACTCTTTATTTTCTCATCCCCTCTGTAGTGAACAAGGCAATAGGCTAAGAGGGCTCTGCAAATGATCTCCACATCGTGCTCGTTCAGCTGCCTCTTGAAGCGGCCGTGGGACAGAATTTCTCTCCATCGGCCCCACCTAGTCCAAAGTGAAACACAAATCAGCACCTGGAAGTGAAACACTGCAGTAGCTACAGAATTCTCTTACAAAAGAGAATTTTTCTCTAAAATACTTAGCTTTTAGCCTTTTTCTTTCAGTTTAAGTTAATGAGTAGAAATAATAAAGTAACATTTGCAATATAACTCCACCTGATTAAAACAGAGTTTTAAACAAGAAGTGCCTCTTTACAAAAAGTATGGATGATTGTTTTAAACTTCAAAGACACAAAACTGATGGGAACTCATTCTGACAAGAATGCTGTTATTTTTCTTTTAAGATGGGTGAGGGAACACCTAAGATTTGATTTCCAAATCAAGTTATCTGATTTCAGTATGCTTAAAATAACTGGTTAGATTCTCAGTTCCTATTTGTGCCTCACAGAAGTGCAAGATGTTCTACAATTATGAAAATCAAGTTACCTACCAAGGCATTATTTCAGACATTTTTAAGGAGCCTTGAGCCTGCCTGCAGCACTTACTGTAATGATTTTTAGAGAGACTCCTGTAGTGCCCATGTTAAAAGCTGTAATCTCATTTGAAGAAAGATTTTCACCCTTCTTTCTTAATGTTTTTTTAATTGCAAATTGTCAGGAAGATTTATTACAGGATGCAAGATAAATTCCTTTTCTAAAAACATTCTCTGCACACTCTCCAGGTCATTGCCAATACAGAGTTAAGTTATTCCACAAAACCAATTTACCACATGGAAAAATAAGTATTTTTAAAACCCTTGAGAGAATGAAGAAGGATGCACACAATACCCATAGACCAGCAAGTTCTTCTCCACACGGAAGCACTCAGTCCTCCCGTAGCCGTTGGAGCGGTCGCAGGGCCGGCGCAGCTTGGGCTTCTCATCCCCCTCACTCTCCACCTCCGACAGCTCCGCCAGCTCATCCTTGGTGGCACTGAAGGGCCGAGTCTGCTTCCTGATTCTTGGGGTATCAATGACAAGGCTGTTCTGCAAAATTCCAAACACACCTCGTGAGAGAAGCAGTTTTTCTCGAGTACACAGCTCCAGCTCAGAAACAATTCCTATCTCTTGTTATTCACAGCTATTTCATGAGGACACTGAACACCATGGAGCAAGGTAAAACATTCTGTGGTATTTAAGGCAACAAAAAATGAGTTTCATATGCTAATGCCAGTACATTTGTTACAAACAACACAGAGTACCTCATCTGGGCTGATGAGACTTTCTCTCACACAGACTACTCTGCAGTCTTTGTGAGGGAAAGGGGGCACTGAAACCTTTTTGAATCAAATGCGTGGGCAATGTCTTCAAGTAGAGGACACAGATTTCAGTATTATAAAATTTATACGGGTTTTAGTCACTTATTTTGCAGATTCCAGTTCAAGATTTACAGACAGAGAAATGAGGCAATCAGAATAATACCACAATTTTAATCATTTTCAGGTCTTTGACAAAAATCAGAAATGTCCAAACTTTTTACTGGACAGGACAAAAATCAGAAATACTACAGCTGTCAGCAGGCTGGCTGCTCATAAGCCAGTACAAATAGGCCAGCATAAAAAGTTTGATTTGTTGAAATATTAATCAAAAAGCACTAGAAATCCCATACCTGCAAATTCAGAATTCAACAGCAAGCACATGCTTGGAAAAAATACACATTAAAACAGTACTTACTCTACCACTGATAGCATCAATATCAATTTCTGCTTTTTTGGCCCATTTCTGCCAGAAGTTGGGATCATCTAGTGAAATATCAGTCCTGTTTCCAGATGCAACGAAACTAGCCTGTAATACATAAAACTAAAGCTTACCAACATCATACATCAAAAGTTTGTAGTTTGCCTCACTGCTGTAAAGACTGCCTGACCTTATTTCATTAAAAACCTCCCAAGCAGCTGTTAAGACTTTAGAAGTTACTTACACTGCAAAGCAACTCAAAAGCTCTCCTCCCCCTTAATTTTTAAAAATCAGATCCATAATATATCAGAAAAATCTAATGAACTTTTATGCACCATCAGGAGAGAAGAACATTAAGCAGCAAGAGTCTTCTGCTTCTAAGTCTGAATCTAAATTACTTGAATGGAAGAAAAAAGAATCTTTTGAAGAGGCTTATCAGCATTTGGGGATTTCATCTCATGCAGAAGTACTCGCTTGAGGGAAATTTCAAAGGGGTGTTTAAGCTGCCAACAATCAAAGCCTGAGTGCATGGAATAGGCTTAATTTCAGAAGGCATTTAAAAAACTCTGATACACTGCATTTGGGAAAAGAGTAAATACATATAAAAATTTCTAACTCTTCTGATAAAAAGACAGTGATGATGATCTTTAGAAATCTATTTCTTATTTAAGGCATAATCAGCAAGATATAGGAAAACTAAATAAACATATAAATAAATGATATTTTTAAATATTGCCATTTAAGAACATAAATATACATTTACAATATTTTAAGTCTTCTTTTTTTTTTTTAAGTCTTGCTTTTTTAATTCTTTTGGAATGCTCACAATTGCATTCATGAAGTGCCCACATCCCAAGCTTTGCTGCTTGATATTTTACACTCTCAGCCCCCTTCCCATGTACATATATGTATCTCCACTCACTGCTATTTTAGGACACTTTTTATTTTACTTCTCCAATTCTTACCAAAAAAGCTCAAGGTTCAAAATATATATTTTTGTTTATGCATTTTTAGAATGCGTTTTTAACCATATTAGTTTTTAGCCTTATTAATTATTGCCATATATATTTTTCTCTGCCTTTAATATATATAAATACAACCAGATCTATAAGCAAATTTGTTTTAATATTCTTGGCTAATGCAGCTCATCACATCTCACACAACCCCCAGCCTTTCCCAAAGCAGCACAGATCCATTCCTCATCTTTGCTCGAGCACACTCCTTGCACCTGGCGTTGACAGAATCTGTAATCTGACTTTCAATGTGCACGTTAACAGAAATGTACAGATGCAAGAAGCCAAACTATGTACCTCACACACAACACACGTAAACAGAACTTAAACTAAGGCCTAGCTCTATCCCATGCAGTGCCATTTAGAGCTCCCTGCTGTCCCAGAACACCCTGCTGCTCTGCACCTTGGCAAACGTGGAGCCCCTTCCCTCAGACTCGATCGTGATGGTCTTGGTGCGGCGCTGCAGGATCTGGTCAATGTCCTCCTCACAGAACTTGGAGCCCTCATCCTCCTCATCCATTATGGCACCATAGGCACCTCTTCGAAGCAAGTCCTCGATTTCTTTTTTGGAGAGTTGCTGGATCTGAGCAAATAAAATCAGGTTTAGACAATCAAGAAGAAAAATCCCTGAACTCTTTTCTCTTCCTCTTTCCCATCTTTCCACAACCTAACTGCCTTATGATCTGCAAGCCTAAATCTGGAGTGTTAGAAGCTATGAGAAAAGTCAAGCTGATAGCTGAAATTGTAAATTAGGTGCTTACAGCACACATTTCAAAAAGTACGCCTTTTTTTTTTTGGCTGTTCTCAACACCATGATGTGCATGTCTAAAAGAAATTACCTGTTCATACTTACATTAAAGTAACACATTATCTTAGTATGAGAAAATACAAGGAAACAAAGAAATTTTTCTCCTTATTTTAACACTTTGACATTATCTACCTTGAACTTTATAAGGCAAGAAAGATTTATCAGAGTAACTGACTAGATTTAAAATTATATTAGCTATGTTGCTAGTTCACATCAGAAAACAGAATGGAGATGCAAATGACAGAAAAAGGGAAAAGTGGCAGCTTCTGTAATTTAAAGCAATTCCCACATGATTACAAAATCAAAAAAAGGTTATTTCAGGAAATAAATCTACATACACCACCAACACTGTTTTCTCTTCCACTCATACTCTGCAAGACAGCCTTATCCAGTCCCAGTTTCAGACTTGCTCTGTCAAACATCTCTCTCTCATAGGAATTACGTGTGATGAGCCTGTAGACCTTCACTGCTTTGTTCTGACCAATCCTGTGGCATCGGGCTTGAGCCTTTGGAAGGAAGGGAAGAGAGCAGTTGGAATTTAGACCTACCTAGGAATCACATACTGATCTTTTAAGAACCTGCTTCTGCTGTAGCCCAATCCAAACACAGGGGCATGAACTCAAAAGGATTCAACACACATTTAAGCAAACAGAAGCTATCAGACATTTTCCACAAAGTGAACAGTTTTCTAAACACAGTGTAGCAAGAAAAATGCAGATGAATGGCCTGCGCTAAATGCTCCTCACTGGTCCTGCCTTTGCAGAAACACCAGATAAAAAGACCTGCTGGCTCCTAAGTTAGCTGATCTGATACAAATGGTAAAGGAGTTGCAACTTGAGAGTTATTTAAATTTCAGCATCCAATGCCTAGATTCTATTAATTCACTTTTTCTTAATGCATATTAATCCTTTTCTGAATATTATGTTCCAATTGAACACCTCCATTTCCATAAACTGTGTTAGTCAGTACATGCAATATATAGCCCCTGGGTTCACAGTGTCATCAATTCTTAAGGGTTTCATCAAATCACTGACTCCACCTGTGCTGTTTTTCAAAAGTAACTGAAAGAAAAGTTCCCAATCAAATGAAATCTCTTCTGAATTGAAGGCAAAAAAGAACTTTAAACACATGCCTAAAAAACATGAACGTGTCAAAATTACGTGTGTTCAAACAGAGACAATTATTCAAAGTGATTAAATTCTTATCCATCGGGTTTAATTAAGGCTCTTTACCACACTCCAAGAAATTCACCTGCAGGTCATTTTGGGGATTCCAGTCAGAATCGAAGATGATGCAGGTATCTGCTGCAGTCAGGTTGATGCCCAGGCCCCCGGCCCTGGTGCAGAGCAGGAAGACGAAGCGATCCGAGTCGGGCTTGCTGAAGCGG